AGAGACTTACAAATATTTGTTAATGAATGAATGAGCAGTAAAAGTGTCAAGTGCTACTCCAAAAAAAAAAAAAAAAAGGCAATATGAAGAGTCAGGAAAGCATCCACTGCATTTGGCAAGACAGAGCTTATTATTGCCCCATCCCAAGTGGTTTCATTCAAGAGGCAGAGAGATTAGGGAGTGAGTAGGAGTTGAAGGAGTAAGGACAGCAGGTGTGTCAGCAGGTATACTTTTTCTAAAGGCCTGGTTCTGAAAGAAGGAGAGATACAGGTCTGCAGCTACAGGAGATGTGGGTAGGGATGAAGGATGAAGGGACTGTTATTTTTAGATGAGAGAAACTTGGATTTATTTGAAGGCTGAAGAAGTAGCTTAAGTAAGTCACTGAACTGATGAATGGCAACTGGGATATGGGTTTCCTAAGGCCACCCAGCTGCGTCTCTTTGTACTATGCACCTTAGAAGAGACTAGAAAAGGGGGTGAGTGGCAGGAACAGTTCTCTGGGGCTCAGCCTCTGTTGAACTAGTACAGCATCTTCCCCACACTACCCACCTTAGGAAAGAGGAGGAAACCAGAGTGGTGAGGGGTGTGTGAGAAGAGAGCACCAGCCACAGCTCAGACTCAACCTGAAGTTGCACAGGGACTTGATGGCAGCTTGTCTGCACTTGTGAGTGCCCAGCAGTTTTTCACTGTCTTCCCCCGCCCACTGAGATAAAAGAAATGATCTTTCTACTCTTTTTTTTTTTTTTAGATTTATTTATTTATTCACACTAGCACTGGGTACAGTCAGAAGCACGGGAGGGCGAGAGAATTCACCAGAGCCAGAGAGGGGAATAGACTGACAAAGTACACTGCTGAGGGGAGCAGCGGGCGGCAGGAGAGGTCCGTGTACCATGTGGGACGCTCACCCTGCAGCCGGGGATCGAACTGGCACTGCAGAGGCCACGGGCAGCCTCGCAACCCAGCGCTCAACCGCTGCGCCACCAGGGGAGGCCCGATCTTTCTACTCTTTCCCTAACTTTCTGGTGAACCCTTTCCTTGCTTTGGCAAACTCGTAATTTCCTTACTGGTGGGAAATGGAAGGGACTTATTTTATTTGGGGGGCTTTTTTAAAGATCTAGGGCAATCTCTCTTGTACTCATTGGCTAGATTGGGGTCAGTGCCCACCCCTAAACCCACCAATGCCAAGGGGAATAAGACAACCCTGGTTGGCAGAAAACTCCTAATAGAAAACATAGGTGGAAAGTACTTGACATCAATCTTGGCAATGAATTTTTGTAGCTGACTCCAAAGGAGGCAACAAAAGCAAAAATAAACAAGTGAGATGACATCATACTAAAATCTTCTGCACAGTAAAGCAAACCGTTGAAATAAAAGACAGCCTACTGAATGAGAAAAAATCCTTGCAAATCATATATCTAATAAGGAGTTAATACCCAAAATAGATAAAGATTGCACATAGCTCAATAACAAACACAAAAACCAACAATTTGATTAAAAAATGGGCAGAGGGTCTGAATATTTTTTTTCCAAACAAGATATGCAAATGGCCAACAAAGTACATCTTATCTTAAAAAGATAAGAAATAAATGGTAGGACACAGACGAGGGAACACTTGTACACTTGGTGTAAGGTAAATTGGTGCAGCCACCATGGAAAACAGTATGAGGGTTCCTAAAAACTTAACAATAGAGGGCCTCCCTGGTGGCGCAAGGGGTTAAGCAACCTCACTATGAAGCAATCCGTAGCCTCTGCAGCACGGGTTCGATCCCCCCACCAGCCAGGGAGCAACCCATATAGCGCAACAGTCTGCTCCTGACTTGCCCGCTGTTCCCCTCAGCAGTGTGTTTCAGTCAGAATGCCTGTTCTGTCCCCCACTCTGTCTCTGGTGAATCCTCTCACCCCCCACATCTCTGGCCTGTACCCCAGCTCTTGTATGCATAAATAAATAAATATTTTAAAAAACTTAACAATAGAATTACCTTATATCAGTTCCACTTCTGGATATTTATGCAAACAAGCAAAAATATAACCAAAAGATATATATATAACCCCATGTTAACTGCAGAATTATTTACAATAGCCAAGATATGGAAACAACCTAAGTACCCATCGAAAGATAAATGGATAAAGAAGATATGATGTATTTTTACAGTGGAATATTATTCAGTCATAAAAAGGGAAACTTTGCCATTTGTGATACAATGGATAAACCATATTGGAATTATGCAAAGCAATACAAGTCAGACAGAAGGACAAATACTGTATGATTTCATTTATATGTGGAATCTAACAAAAATAAGCAAATCTCATAGATCAGAATGGCGGTTGCCAGAAGGGATAGGTGGTAGGGGATGAATAAAGTGGTGAAGGGAGTCAAGAGGTACAAACTTTCAGTTATAAAATAAATAAGTCATGGATATGTAATGTACATCATGGTCACTATAGTTAATAATGCTGTAGGGCATAAAAGCAAAAGTTGCCAAGAGAGTAAATCCTAAAATTTAACTTTGTGTGGTGACAGATGGTAACTAGAATTATTGTGACCATTTTAAAAATATTGAATCATCATGTTGTGTACCTGAGGCCAATATAATATCTCAGTAAAAACTTTTAAAAATAAAAGATAAAAGATAACCCTGGTTGAGTTAGTCTGCTCAGGATTTACCCTATTTGTATGGGTGTGAATCAGACACTGGAACACACTGCACTCTTGGGAAAATGGAGAGATGACTTTTAGGTAGGATACAAACGGTAAGAGCAATGATTTAAAGAGGCAATTCAAGGTAGAAATTCCCCTCATGTATGAGGGGAATTCAGGCCCCAGTGGGTTGCAGCCTTTCTTATTCTGTATCTTGCTATTTGCTGCTGCCCCCTGGTGCAGGAACATTTCTATCATGACCTTTCTTAAAGCTTTGGGGCACTGGAAAAAGCAACTTGGCAGTGAAGATTTCAGAAACGTATTGGATATTTGCATCTGTAGACCTCCTTCCTGAAATTCCCTTTTTGATGTATATGGGTTTGCTTTTTGTAGTTTTCTGACTCTTCTCAATCTACTGCTAGGAGTGTGCTTCCCCCTAGTGGTGGAGACTGGCGCAGCCAACTCTTTAGGGGAATGTAGTGCTTTTGGTCTTGGAACCACCAGTCCACTGCACAGGGGAAGGCAGAGAGGGAGGGGCAGTGCACTACCCTGAGAATGGGTACTCTAACGGGGCCAATGGGAGGGGCCCTGTGGCTGAGCATCAAGGCACAGACCTCATGAAAACACAGCAGGCATTATTACATTTTTATATTCCTAGACTCTCCTACCTCTCCTCAAGCCTGCCATGAAACAAAACCAAAGTAAACAAAAGGGTTTTTTCCTCCCCTTTACATGGCAATAAGCTTTAAAAACAGGTGCTGAAGAGAGCAGGTGGGCCCAGACAGGTCTCTGACGCACCTTTTGACTCCCTTGTTTCCTATACTCTGCTCATCATCTTTCCCTTCCAGTGCGTCTTCCTTCAGTCAAGCCTGCCATCCCCAACTCCCCTTTCCTCCATTTCCTTTATTCTCTCTGCCAAGTCCTCTATAGCCTCTGTTCTTTGCTGAGATTTTTGCCACAGCCTCAGTTCTATCACAGCTGAGTTTGGCCCCATGTGGTTTGAGTACTGCTGTTTCCATTCCAGGACCAACGCCAACAAACTCAGGAGCACTGAGGGGGTTACAGTTGGCAGAAAGTGCTGGCGAAGTTGACCAGAGGGCTTATTTCAACTTCAAACCTGAAAAACACTCCCTGGCATCTGCTGGTAGGTAAGGAAAAAACATGGAGAGATACTGCAGCAGTCCCCTGAAGAGAAACAAGGCTGCAGGAAATAAGGGAATGTCAAATTACAACTAATCTCTGTTCATGGAAGTCTGCTGCAGTCCCTGGAGTTAAGACAGAAAAGAAGGCCAACGTGAGACCCCTTAGCTCCTAGGCTGCCCGAACAGGAGTGCGGGCAAGCAGCAGCAGCCTACCCCTCACCCTGGCGAGGGCTTTGTGCTTTACATGCTGTTCCTTAAGCTTCTGCGTGCCACTATTTGTCAGTAATATCACTTACACTGCGCTTTCAATATTTAAAACGCACACTCGCATCACGTTATCTTATGTCTCCTTGACAATCCTACCCCTCAACTTAGCTGTGAAAAATTTTGTAGAGAAACCGCAGCTTTAGAACAGAGTAGTGCCCCAAGCAGTTCTTTTTTTTTTTTTTTTTTTAAGATTTACTTATTTATGCATAGAAGAACTGGGGTACAGGCCAGAGGCATGGGTGGTGAGAGGATCACCAGAGACAGTGGGGAGCAGAACAGGCAGGTTGCCTGAAATACACTGCTGAGGGAGCAGCGGGGAGTCAGGAGGGGTCTGCTGTACCATGTGGGTTTCTCCCTGGCTATGGATCGAACTCATGCTGCAGAGGCTGCAATTGCTTCATAGGTTGCCTCTTAACCCCTTGCGCCACCAGGGAGGCCCAGCAGTTCTCCTGGCACGCCAAGCCGGCAGCAGGACCACAAGCGGCATCCCCGGCGGCGGCAGACCAGCAAAGACGCCTCAGTTGGAAGGAGGTGCAAGGAAAAGAAGTCCCCCTCCTCCGCCATCCCTTGCCAAGGAGAGATAGACAGATAGACAGACAGACACCCTAGTGAGTCGTCCGGGTAACCGAGGGTCTTACCTGGATTACCTGGACCCCTGAGGAGAGGCTCCCCGGGCTTGCAGACTCCGCCCCGGAAGACCTTTCCTGGGACTCTAGCCCCCTGACTCCTCCCCCGCGCCCCGCCCCCTGGGACCTCGGCCCCGCCCCTGAGACTGCGGCCCCGCCCCCCGGGACCCGAGACCGCGGCCCCGCCCCCAGGGGCCGTGGTCCCGCCCCCTGGGACCTCGACCCCGCTCCCGGGAACTAGGAGCCGCCCCCAGAATCATGACCCCCGCCCCTGCCCCGCCCCCTGCCCCGCCCCCTGCCCCAGCATCGCGTCGCTCGGCCCCCGCTTTCGTGCCCGCGCCGCGCAGCACCTCCATGTTTCTCCGAGCCGGCCGGGCCGCGTTCTCTCCGCTTCTTCCGGCTCTTCGGCCCGCTGCTGTCGCCGCCATGAGCACTGGCACCTTCGTCGTGTCGCAGCCGCTCAATTACCGCGGCGGGGCCCGCGTGAATCCGGCGGACGCCTCCGGCTCCGAGAAGACGTTCGAGCCCGCCACGGGTAACGGGCCGGCCGGGGCGGCGGGGCGGCGGGGCGGGCCCGGGCGGCTGGCGTGGGGCGGGGGCCGGGGCCGGGGTCCTGGGGGGCCGCTCCCCGGAGATCACATTCCACCGCCTGGCATCCTCGTTGGGCGCGTTCGGCAAAGGTGTGTGCACACAGGTGAGCGACGGTGTCTCGGGTGAAGTCGCAGGTGCCGCCGCCCAGGTTCGTGCAAACACGACCGCGGGTGGAGGGCCCCGGAGGGAGGCGCGGGAGCTGGGGAGGCCGGCCGGGTGCTGGGGGAGTTTTGCAGCCACCTGAGCAGAGTCCACGGCTCTCGTGCGCTGGGTCCGGCCGCTGCCGATTCTGTTGAGAGCCAGGACGGCCGTCCTGTATCCTGCGCGTGCACACATTTCCAGGGAACGTGCACAGATTGCATCTAGTGAGCGTGAATGAGGACTTTGTTGCCACCCTGTAGTGTTAAAATGTTTCTGAACGGAACCGAAATTGGAAAAAGGGACGTCCTCTGTTTATTCAGGGCTTCATGTGTGGGTGCACTGTGCTGTGCCCTGGATTTGCCCCTGGAACTCGGAAGATCCGAAAACTAATAAAGAAGAGGGTTTTGGTTTTGCTTTATGTTGTGATTGCTTTACTAGCTTTTACGAAATATTTGTGGGGAGAAAAATGTAAATGTTTTGTGTAAACCAGAACAGCCTGTAAGCCAAAAAGAGAAACTGGATTGCAAAAGCCTGCAGGATCCAGGATGGACCCATCACGATAAATAACAGCAGGAGGAAGCCACAGAGATAATGGACCCTCCTATATGCATGAGGAAGTAGCCTCTTAGCTCCCATTCCTAAATTGATACAAAAGAAAAAGAAAAATTGCTTTTCATTTTAATAACTTACAATGTGTGATCCGTGGTCACTACACTTACCTACTGGCTATTCAAGTTTGTAATGAAAAGAACAGATTTTTGAACTCTGGAAAAAGCTGAGTTCCAGTTCTTGTAGGAGGGGAAGCTAACTGCTCATAGACATAAAGAATTCATGTTAGGAAGCTGAAGAAAGTTCTAGTGGGTTGAGGTATCGGCGGGAGCAGCCGGCTGGCTGGAGGAGCCGTTACACGAACCGGAGTTGCCGATCAAGCCTGAGCAAGATGACCACCTCCCAAAAGCACCGGGACTTCGTGGCAGAGCCCATGGGGGAAAAGCCAGTGGGGAGCCTGGCCGGGATTGGAGAAGTCCTGGGCAAGAAGCTGGAGGAAAGGGGCTTTGACAAGGCCTACGTGGTCCTTGGCCAGTTTCTGGTGCTAAAGAAAGACGAAGATCTCTTCCGGGAATGGCTGAAGGACACATGTGGTGCCAACGCCAAGCAGTCCCGGGACTGCTTTGGTTGCCTTCGAGAGTGGTGCGACGCCTTCTTGTGATGCCCTCTGGGGGGCCCCCAATCCCCAGCTCCCACATTGAGTCTCCAAAGTTTGCGGCTGAGTGGGGACTCCTCCCACCCTTCACAAAGGAAAAGATTGCTGTTTCCATACTCACCTCCAATGTACTCCAGGGTCTTTTGGGAGTTCTCTCCCGTCACCCTTGTAACTTTTTGGGGACTCTTGCTCTTGCATGCATCTCCCTCCTCCTTCCCCTGCCAGTGTCACGTCCACCATGACCAGCTTTTTTGAGTGAATCCTGGCCCCTTCCCTCAACCCCACTCCCACCTTTGGTCTGTTTCAAGTGGTTCTTTTTCTGGCAGAGCAGTCACTGTCTTTGTAAAGTTTTTTAGATCAATAAAGTCAGTGGCCTTTGTAAAAAAAAAAAAAAAAAAAAGAATTCATGTTAGTAGATTCCCCTCAGTCAGATGAGGGTCTAGAAAAATGAATTATTTCATATTTGCCCCCAGAATAGGTTAGGGAATAAGATTGGAGGAAGAAAAGGAGAGACTGGGTGTTTTTACATATGAGAAAATAGTTGTCCTGTTTTTAGGGATATCCTTTCCTGATATTGCTTCTTATTAACCATATTCATTAAGTGTCAGTATTATGATAAAATTTATGTAGAACACAGAATCAGGTATTTTAAATCAGAGCTTACGATTCAGGAGAAAGAGTACTTTCAATTTTGATTTTGGAAGATTACTGAAATTCTCAAACTTTGTTAAGGAGCTTCACAAAGTCATTGACAGGAAATTCATGTTAGTAAACCCAGCTGTAGTATAGAGGAGGGCAAGATTTCTTAATCTGACTTCATGGCATGATTGTAATTCTGTGATGTGGTTCAGCACATTTTCCTTGAGAAGTCTGCAGCTTGTATTAGACTCCTAAAGGGTTCAGTGACCTTAACATGAGTTAAGAACTGCAGGAATAGGGGTGGTCATTGATCAAACCATACTGAAACACAAAGCGATCTGTCATAGGATATTTGGGTAGTTCTTAGGTTATTTAAGCAGGTACCAATAGTTTGAAGTAACCTTGACTCTGCTGGTTTTTATAGGGCGAGTGATAGCTACTTTCTCATGTTCTGGAGAAAAGGAAGTAAATTTGGCTGTTCAGGATGCAAAGGCCGCTTTTAAAATATGGAGTAAAAAATCTGGCATGGAGCGCTGTCGAATTCTTTTGGAGGCTGCCAGAATCATAAGGGTATGTTTTAATTTATTCTCTTCTAGAAAGGTTCTTTTGCAGGGCTTGGAGGGTTCTTTGTGATGATTTGTAGGTAGACTTTGATGCTCTGTTAGGTTTTATCTTTTGTATGAATCAGAAACATTTCCATAGGTCCACTTTGGTATGTGAAACAAACTTTCTTACAGTAATTCCCAGATGGGTCTTGGCTCTGGGCGAAGGGCCCTTGGCAAGCTTGCTTTTCTGTCTTTGTTGGAGTTAGAATGTAGTTTGTCTTAGAATGTAGTCTCTGTAGCTTGTCTTCTTTTCATTACAAGTACTGGTTTCCTCTTTAGTCTTTCCTCTGATGACTCTCAAATCGACCTTTGATTTCCAGATTTGTTTTCTACCTCCCATATTGTCTGGAAAGATTTCCTAGATTCATAGATGTTGCCCCCTCTTAAAAAGAAAGTGAAGGGCCTCCCTGGTGGCACACGAATCAAGCGTCAGCACTGTGAAGGCTGTCTGCAGCCTCTGCAGCACGAGTTCTATCCCCGGCCAGGGAGCTACCTACATGACGCAGCAGACCTCTCCTGTCTCCCCGCTGCTCCCCTCAGCAGTGTGTTTCAATAGATCTGCCTGTTCTGCTCCCCACTCTGTCTCTGGTAAATCCTCTCACCCCCCCCCCCGCACCTCTGGCCTGTACCCCAGTTCTTGTGTGCATAAATAAATCTTTAAAAAAAAAAAGTGAAACTTGTTACAGTCTTAAAAAGCAGAAGTACTAGGCGCATTTTAGAGAAAGTTGGGAAATTTAGAAGAATGGACACCAAAATGAGAGTCTTGGTTATCTCTGATTAGTAGGACTGCAGAATTTTTTTTTTTTTAAGATTTATTTATTTATACAAGAACTGGGAGGGTGATAGAATTCACCAAAGACAGAACGGGAAGAACAGGCAGATGGACTTTTTTTAAAATTCATGAATGTGTTAAGTCAAACTGTGAAGGGCCTGAGAGTTGCTGGATTTGCAAGGGTTTTCTTTTCTTTTGTTTTCTTTTTTTAAATTTATTTTTTTATACAAGAACTGGGGTACAGGTCAGAAGCGTGGGAGGGTGAGAGACTTCACCAGAGCCAGAAGCAGAACAGGCAGATGTAGCAAAGACACTGCTGAGGGGAGCAGCGGGTGAGGCAGGAGAGGTCTGCTGCCCCATGTGGGGTTCTCCCTGGCTTGCGGGAATTGAGCTGGTGCTGCAGAGGCTGCGGACAGCTTCACAGTGCAGCGCTCAATTGCTGTGCCACAGGGGAGGCCCTGCAAGGGTTTGTTTGTATCCAGACAGGAGGCTTTCTGGTTCAGAGAAAGACGTTTTGTTACTCATGGCAAAACTCAGCAGCCAGAGCAGTAAGTTTTTCTGACCCTCAGCCCCCAGGGTTTGATGCAGAGAACCCTGATGCTTGCAGGGAATGGCACCACAGGAGAGGAGTCCTCAAATGATGAGATTCAGCTTATATAGGGGCTCTGGGCACATATGCCCTTCATTTCCTCTGGAGAGAAAGATCACTGCTAAAGCAAATCTCCCCCAGGGTTGAGGGCCAGGGGTCACTAGGTTTGTTACTCAGGTCCAGGAAGTAGAGAACTTTCTATCTTCTTATCACTCCAGAGGCCTTTTATCTTTAGGGACATTGCCCTCCCCCTCCCCCTCCCCCTTCCCTTTCCCTCTGTACAAGAACTGGGGTACAGACCAGAGGTACAGGGTAGGTGGTGGAGGATTCACAGAGACAGAGGCGAGCAGAGCAGGCGTATTTACTGAAATACACTCTTCAGGTGGTGGGGGGGCAGTGGGCACCGGGTGAGACAGGAGAGGTCTGCTGCGCCATATGGGTTAACTAGCTCCCTGGCCAGGGATGGAACTCAGGTGGTAGTGTTTAGTGTTGAGACTTAACCCCTAGGCCACCAGGGAGGCCCCAGAGCCTTAGCTTTTCTGTTAGCTTGCCAGTGTCTTTTGCCAGAAAGCCCGGCCCAGGCAGAGATGTCAAAATATTCATGGAGAACTTTTTTTCCCAGCAAAATAGTTTCCCCTAACTATTTTTAACTTGATAGATCACGAGTGATAACTCAAAGCTGATCATTTATTATTTTAATTTGTCTTTCACTTTTTCTTGTGTACAAGCATTTAGGATTACGCTTTCTTAAGAAATGTCCTCTTCATCACTGTGAAATGATTTTCCCTCACCTTCTCAGGCTGTTCGATGTTAGTTTTTTCTTTCCTTCCCCTTGCACTTATATCTGTACCATTTAGTGGGCTGCATTGTAGTCTTTGGTTTGTTTTCTTTCCCCATGAGACCCTCTTAATTTCCCTGAGCAAATGTTCGGCTCCCCACCTCCTTTGGTCCCTCCCTTATTTCTTTTTCCCCTTATTTCTTTTTTTATCTCCATCTGTTTTATTGGGTGTGAGCCTTAAACTAGAATTGGTAGTCTTTCACTTATGTTGAGATTTAGCCTTGCTTCTATAAGACAATTCTTTTCCCTAATCCCCTCCTGTTAGCACATCCCCCTCTGAGGGAGAGGGGCAGTATGAGTTAGACAGGAGGAAGATGTGTAACATGCTCCAGGACAGTTGGAGACCAGAGTGGAAAACGCTAGAATTGGGTGTGAAATTCTTAAAAATGAAGCAAAAGTTGCTTGTAAGCAGGTAAGATTTAGGTACTGAATAAAAATGAATATTAACTTAAAAAATTATGATGTGTAAGTGCTTTTCTGTTACTGATTCTACTTTTAACATGCATAGAAGTAGCATATTAGGTGTTTTGTGTATATAATTGTATTAATGATCACAAACATCTTGAAATGTGGCTACCATTTTCCCTTAACTGGCAAATGAGGAAGCAAACTTGATCAGAAAGGTTGAAAAGCTCCTCTGTTGTCGAACAGCTCATGACTGCGAGAGCTACCTTGCTGGTCTCCAAAGTTGGGGACTCTTGCTGAGTTCTACCTCGGACCTTGTCATGTCCCAGAGGCTGTGTCTTTGCTCATATCTCATATCTTATGCCAGTTAGACTTGGGCCCCCGCCTAGGGATTTGCCCTGCCTTTTGCTTCTCACCTTCAGGTGTGGGCACCTGGTCAGGTGATGTTGTGAAGCAGGTGGTACTGAGAAGGGAGGACAGGGTGGGTCACAAAATACAGGTTTCTTGGGAAATCCTTGCAGCCAAATGTTATGTGGCAGCTGTGTTGTGACTGCTCTTGTGCTATAGAGGGCAGGAAACTCCTGTTGTTTTCCCTTTCTCTTCTGCCCCTCTTATTCCAGAAGGGGAGAGGGATCTTATTTTCCCTCCCCCACTATTAACTGTCAGTAGAAGTCCACATGGAGTTTTCATCAGGGACTTTTTTTTTTAAAGATTTATTTATTTATTGATTGATTGATTGTTTTATACATACATACATACAAGCAATGGGTACAGTCAGAAGCGTGGGAGGGTGAGAGAATTCACCAGAGCCAGAGTGGGGAGCAGAGCAGGCAGAAGGACCAAAGTACACTGCAGAGGGGAGCAGCGGGCGGCAGGAGAGGTCTGCACACCATGTGGACCCTCCTCCAGTGGCCGGGAGCAACCGGGGATCGAACCAGCGCTGCAGAGGCTGCGGGCAGCTTCGCAACCCAGCGCTCAACTGCTGCGCCACCAGGGAGGCCCTTTCAGGGACATTTTTTGATGATCCTTGAATGGTTTATTGAAAGATCTTATAATGATCTTTTTTTTTTTTTTTAAGATTTATTTATTTATTTATACAAGCACTGGGTACAGTCAGAAGCACGGGAGGGTGAGAGAATTCACCAGAGCCAGAGCGGGGAGCAGAGCAGGCAGAAGGACCGAAGTACACTGCTGAGGGGAGCAGCGGGCGGCAGGAGAGGTCTGCACGCCATGTGGGACCCTCCTCCGGTGGCCGGGGAGCAGCCGGGGATTGAACCGCTGCAGAGGCTGCGGGCAGCTTCGCAACCCAGCGCTCAACCGCTGCGCCACCAGGGAGGCCCTTATGATGATTTTTTAAAAACAATCTGTGAGTGTAGAGAATGATGGAATAAGACAGGAAAAATCTCAAAAGACCAGCTAGTAAATTGAGTTTTCTCTGAGAGTTGACATCTTGAAATAGTCCCCAAAAGCAATTACTTGTTCATTAAATTTCAAGAGACTAAAACTTCCTGTTTCTTAAATATTTACTAAGAACAGAAAGCTTTAGTCTCTTGAAATTTGTTCAGGGATGATCTGGTAAGCAGGTGCAAGCCTTTGTTCAGTTAGTACTTTCTGCCTGTCCTTGCTTATGCTGACACAGAAGCCCAACAGCATTTCACTTTTGTCAGCTTAATATTTCTGTATGGGTTTCAAATGTAATACACTGATTCATCAGTTTATTCATGCTGATTAGTGAATTGGTACTTCCTTTTGAGAACCTAGTTCCCCTCTTGCATTCTAGAAATAAAGTTTTAAGCCTTTGAAAAAAATGTTTCATATTAATCACACTGATCACATTCAGGAATGGGAATAGTTTATACCTTGTTGAAGAGCTAATGCTTGCTGTCCTCCTGGGTCCCCTTCTAGTGCCAGTTTAACTGGGAAGCAAGTTAGCTTGTTAAAAAGTGGTTTTGGTGAGTCAGGGAATGAGATGGTGAATTGTTAGTTTAAAGGACAATTTAATTTAGACCACATTTGACTGTGAACAAATTATTCTTTCTGAAGGAACATACCCATTCACTAATTTCAATATTTATTTAGAATTTACCAGTTTTTCTTTTAGAAGTAAGCTCCTTGAAGGAAAAGAGACTGGATCTCTATTTCTTTTTCTTAGTATTGAATAGGGAAGAAATAAATGAAAGCACCTTAGCTCTCTGGTCTTTGTAGAAACACAGTGTGTCAAAATCTCACCCGCAAAGGGTCCTCTTCTCTATCTCATATCAATTTTCATATTCCTGCTCCCATCTTTTCTGAGATCTGTATAGTGGATTGGTGCTTGTGTTAGTTTCTGTTGCCATTTCTTTTTACTTCGGTCAGTTTTACTATTTAACCAGTTTTAAAGAGAGTGCTCTTTTTGTCAGTTGTTTGATTCATCTTTTGTATGTCCAGAATTCCCCTATTTATTTATTTAAGATTTATTTATTATACAAGCACTGGGTACAGTCAGAAGCGCGGGAGGGTGAGAGAATTCACCAGAGCCAGAGCGGGGAGCAGAGCAGGCAGAAGGACCGAAGTACACTGCTGAGGGGAGCAGCGGGCGGCAGGAGAGGTCTGCGCGCCATGTGGGACCCTCCTCCAGTGGCCGGGTTGCAGCCAGGGATCGAACCGGCGCTGCAGAGGCTGCGGGCAGCTTCGCAACCCAGCGCTCAACCGCTGCGCCACCGGGGAGGCCCAGAATTCCCCTATTTATTTTAAATTGGATCCATAATAGTAGATATCTTTTTCTTACATATTTAATTCTTTTATCTTCTTTGGGACAAAAAGGGCACTAATTTTTAGCTTTTCTGTTTAGGTCTGCTTTCCCAAATCTCTATTCATTGTTGGATCATCTCTCACATCTCTTAAATTGTGTAGGCTACAAAAAGAGTTTTTTATAGGCTAGGCTGAAAACAGAGTTGATGAATACTGAGCATTAGAAAGTAATTATATTATGATTTTGACATGTTCTGTTTCTTTGGGTGAATTAAAGGATACGGGTATACAACCTCTTAAATGTGATTGGTGTGTTAGACTGTTTTGTATAATTTCCTAAGGCCTATTCCCTGTTACACACACAAACATGCAAACATATATATGCATGTTTATACAGTATACATATATTTATTTCTAAAAATGCTCCTTTTCTAGCTGATCCTAAATGAGGTATTCGTCTTAAATCTGTGACATTAACTCTGGCGGGGATAAGAGATATGCACAACAGGGCTGCTGTTTAGCAGTAAGCTTTTATTTTCTTCCTAATATAACATTAAGTTCCTTTTATTTTCATGTAATGTACAAGCTGTTTCTATTTTTAAAAACTGGGCATAATATTCTTTTTGAACCCTGCATATGTTGAGGTGTATGGAAATGTCTTAAATCTAGTGTTATGTTTTACCAAAGGAACGGAAGGATGAGATTGCCACTTTGGAGACCATCAACAACGGCAAGTCCATCTTCGAGGCCCGCCTGGACATTGACACCTCCTGGCAGTGTCTGGAGTACTATGCAGGCTTGGCTGCATCCATGGCTGGTGAGCCCTCCCCCTGCCTCCTGGCCCAGGCTGACAAAGGAGCAGAGGGACAGAGCCTGGTGGGGAAGATAAAGATTGGGGCATCAAGACAGGCTTGGGATGAGTAGCTCTCCTGCCGGCCCGTGACTCTGCAGGTCCCTCTTTTTTTTCTTTCTCCCTTTTCCTAATAAACCTGTTCTTTTAAAATGTAAAAATAAAAAAAAAAAGACAGGACTGGGTTAAAATCGAAGGATCTTCTCTTTCTATGTGAGTGATCCTGGGAATTGCTTTATTGTTCCTTATTTAAACTGGAGATAATAATCCCTATCTTTGTGAGTTATAGGACTAAGTGAGATAATGAGTAGAACGCATCTAGCAGGGTACCTGAGCTTTGAACCTATTTATTGAAAAACCAGTTCTTCTAAGAGTCAGTGCATCATATTTGCTAGTTTTATCTATTTAGTAAAACTTTTCTTTCTAAAATTTGCAGCAGTCCATGTTAATTTATCAGGATCCAGGAGGGCTGTGGGGAGTCTGGAGCCTGAGGTTTTGGGGTATTTAGGGTCTCCTGCCTCTGAGTCTCCCTTCACTTCCATTTCAGTTCATCAAAGTTATCTAGTCAATGCTCAGTAAAGTTTTAGAGAATTATATTGTTACATGTCCATGGGTTTGAGAGCCAGACAGGATTCTTTGCATGGAGAGAGTCTGCAGGAACTGTGTAAGAATGGGGACAGGTTATCCCTGGGTACTGGGACCAGCAAGGTGGCCAGTCTGAGTGGAGCACAGGTGAGTACAAGTGTGGGGAAATCTTGGGAAAGGCAGGGCTGCATTCTTTTTTTTTTTTTTTTAAAGATTTATTTATTTATGCATACAAGAGCTGGGGTACAGGCCAGAGATGCAGCGGGTGAGAGGATTCACCGGAGACAGAGTGGGGAACAGAACCAGCAGATTGACCAGAGTATACTGCTGAGAGGAGCAGCGGGGAAGTCAGGAGAGGTCTGCCGCGCCATGTGGGTAGCTCTCTGGCTGGCCAGAGATCAAACCCTTGCTGCAGAGGCTGTGGACAGCTTCAGGTTTGAGTCTTAACCCCTTGTGCCACCAGAGAGGCCCAGGGCTGCATTCTTTACTCCATTCCCCCTCAGGTGAACATGTCCAGCTCCCAGGAGGGTCCTTTGGCTACACCAGAAGAGAACCTCTTGGAGTATGTGTGGGAATAGGAGCCTGGAACTACCCCTTTCAGATTGCCTGCTGGAAGTCGGCCCCGGCGTTAGCCTGTGGTAAGAATGAGTTACTCCTCCACCAGGAACCATCCGTCCTCTCCCCATTCACAGCTCCTTACCAGTACGTACAGGGACCTGTGCTGGGCATATCACACTTCAGGGGACAGGATTCACCACTTCCCAGACTTCAGGGAGTTTGTTGTGCAGGTTATACACACAGATCCTGTCTGTGTTACTCCCTTTTTATTGATCTCATGTATCTTTGTTTATGAAAAGGAAGAAAGTTAATTTTGGTCATAAAGATCTTAGTTTTTACTGTCCAATTAAATTTGTGAAATTTGTAAGTTCTCTTCCTTTCTGTACAAGAAATCTGGACACAAATTTCTGTTGTTAGGGGGGTTAGTCCTTAGGAAGCAGGAGATGAACTCCCTCCATTTGTGTCTTAAGAGAAATGATAAACAAGGCTTCTCAGAGACAAACTATGTCTGACTGACTCAAACCGTTTTCTCATACTATTTAAAGAGAAAAATCTTGGAAAAGAAGGCTTAATATATCAGAGAGAGAAAATATAAGTTTAGAAAAGCATTACCATTAGCACATTGTGTTGCAGTGCGACTTTTTTTCTTGTCGCACCTTCTTCATGTTCTCTTTTCATATTCCTGTGTGATAAAAGACAAGAAATTAAGTTGCTTTGGACACTCTCATCAATTTAATCTTTTTGGTCTTCAATTTCACCTTTGATACAGAAGGATGAATCATGCCTACTTCCTATATTATTGCTAGTGTTAAATGAGATAACATATGTGGAAAGGCCAAGAAATGGGATTATTGGTTGACAGTGGGTGGGAATGTAGGTCTGTTTAACAAGAGATATAAAAGTGGAAGAACAAGATACATTTACTTACAATAACATTTTTAGTCTATTGATGGGAGAACAGAAAACGACTGGGTTTTCCCCTACTTGTTATTTAGCCCTGTCCTCAGTGGATCATCAGTCTTCAAAGGTCTTCTTCTGTTGTGTCTTGGGTTTATGCAGGTAACGCCATGATCTTTAAACCATCTCCCTTCACACCTGTTTCTGTGTTGCTGCTGGCTGAAATCTACACTGAGGCTGGTGTGCCTCCTGGGCTCTTCAACGTGGTGCAGGGAGGGGCAGCCACAGGCCAGTTTCTGTGTCAGCATCGAGATGTGGCCAAAGTCTCCTTCACTGGAAGTGTGCCCACTGGCATGAAGGTGACAATAAAACCAGTACTCATTAATGACCATGGTGTTGTTAAGGGGCAAGGCAGGCCTACCCGGAATGTATCTTGGGGGCTTATCTTCTGACATTTCCTAACTTGTGCTTGGAGGGGACTCTGGGTACTGTGGATTTCCTAACTTGTGCTTAGAGGAGACTCTGGGTACTGTGGGCAAAGGTCTGCAGTGTGCTTGGGAGGCACGATGGGGGGATTGGCACGGCACGCTGGCATTAGGTCGGTGAGTGTGGAAGCCACCATCTGCCTTTGTCTGAGCATGCAGGGTCTAGGCTGTCACTTGTACTGTTTGGTGACTTAACTCACCTAGAACATCTACCTCAGAAGGCAGGGTATCTTCCCAGTTTGTTTCTGAGTCCTTGTTCTGACCTTGATTTGTGCCATGAGCAATTTTTTCAGCCTTGAACACAGAACAATGATGTAAAAGAGTTTTGGCCTGTGACCATCAGGTGAATTGACAGTGTTAGTAAAATGAACTGCTTCAGAATGTCAAATACAATTCTGTGACTTCTCGATGTTCTGGAAAAGAGTATTTTATTTTTTAAAAGATTTATTTATTTATTTATACAAGCACTGGGTACAGTCACAAGCGCGGGAGGGTGAGAGAATTCACCAGAGCCAGAGCGGGGAGCAGAGCAGGCAGAAGGACCGAAGTACACTGCTGAGGGGAGCAGCGGGCGGCAGGAGAGGTCTGCGCACCATGTGGGACCCTCCTCCGGTGGCCGGGGAGCAGCTGGGGATCAAACCGGTGCTGCAGAGGCTGCGGGCAGCTTCGCAACCCAGCGCTCAACCGCTGCACCACTGGGGAGGCCATGGAAAAGAGTATTTTAAATAGACACAGAGCAGAGTATACTGAGAACAATAAGATGAACTTGAACCTCATGTGTAATCCAGTTCACCTGGCATGTAAGCTCACCTTTGTTAAACTTCTGAATGTGCCTATTCTTTTTCTGTCAGATCATGGAGATGTCAGCTAAAGGAATCAAACCTGTGACCTTGGAACTTGGAGGCAAATCTCCCCTGATCATCTTCTCAGATTGTGATTTGCAGAATGCTGTGAAGGGGGCACTGATGGCCAACTTCCTCACACAAGGAGAGGTATGTGCCAGTCTGGAGAAATGGTTACACGTAATTGCCACCCTTCATCTAACCATATGCTTTAAAGCCTTTTATTCTGCAATACTTTGAGACTTAGAGAAAACTTGCACAAACTGCATAGAATTCCTTGAACCAGATTCCTCAAATATTAGCATTTTATTACATTTACTTTGTCATTTTGTTTGTGTATATATATATATATATATATATATATATATATGCACACCTTTTTTTCCTGTTATGTTTGAAAGTTATAGGCATAATACCCCTGTCCTCTTAATACTTACGTGTATTTCCTAGACAATTACTTTCTTTTCTATAAACACCATACACTTAGTTAAACCAAAAGCTTAATATAGTGCTCTTAATCTACAGCCTTCAATTCAAATTTCTCCACTTAAGTGTTTAATTAAGTGGTGTTTAAGCAAAAGAATTTTTGTTTTTTTAAAATTCTGGTTCATGATCTAATTCAGGAAGATGCATTTTGTTGTCATGTCTTTTTTAATCTCCTTTATCTGGAACTTAGTCTTTATCTTCCAGAAAGTTGACATTTTTCAAATAGTACAGGCTTTTTGGGGGGTAGAAATTACCTCATTTTCGAACTGTTTGGCATTAACTTTTGGTTAGATTCAGGTCATGTGTTTTTACTAAAAAACACCAAAGTTACTGTTTCTTCTTCTGTGGTTAATCAGTATCATGTAGGGGAGAGGTGAGACCATCCTTTTCCTTATCAAATTTTGACCTTTCAGTGATGTTTGCTGGAAACAGTTTTCATTGAGTGCCAAATGGTGATTTTTCAATTCTGTTATTCCCATCTACACATATTAATGAACTTTCTACTGTAAGAAAGAACTTTATTTACATCAGCTGTGCACTTTAAGATGCTTGTTTCATTCTGTAGGTTACAATCCATTACTATTGTTTATTTTTTAAAACTTACATTTATTTTTTTAAAGATTTATTTTATTTACGCATATAAGAACTGGGGCGTAGACCAGAGGTGTGGGGGGGTGGTGAGAGGATTCACCAGAGACAGAGTGGGGAGCAGAACAGGCAGATCGTGAAATACACTGCTGGAGGGGAGCAGCAGGGAGCAGGAGAGGTCTGCTGTGCCATGTGGGTTGTTAGCTCCCTGGCCGTGGATCATACTCATGCCACACTGAGACTTTAACCCCTGTGCCACCAGGGAGGCCCTACTATTGTTTTTTTTTAATGCTCAAATAATTACAGATTCTGCTAGTGATTGCTCCTTTTTTATGACCTTTTAATAGGTCCTCAATGTTCTTTACTTTCTATGTGGCAGGGTGTTCTGGACCCAGCTGTATTTTTCCTGGCTGAATTGTGGAGGTAGCCATTTCCCCAAGAGGGAGACAACAAAATGCATCTTCCTGGATTTCTTGCCATGCAAAGATTTGTCATTTTATGTAGTCAGATTTATTTCTCACTGCATCTAGATTTTGAGTTAGGAAACTTTTTCCTATACCCGGGTTTTGGAGAAATTCACCAGTATTTTCTCTTGGTAATTGTGTGGTTTCATCTCTTTTATTTAGAGTCCTGGTACATTTGGAGTTTCTTTTTTTGTGTGGCGTGAGCTATGTGTCTTATTTTCCACATAGCTAACCAGTTGTTCTAGCACCACTTGTGACTAGTTCATCTTTGCTCCAATGATTTGAGAGTCTACCTTTATCATAAACTAAATTTCCCTGAGTACATGGATTTTTTTTTTGACTTTCCTAGTTTGGTATTTTTGCTTTTGTAGGGTCTAAATAATCATAATTTCAAACATTTATTGTGAAACGTTCTGGGTGATTAGACTCCAACCCTCAGTTCTTTTTTTTTTTTTTTTTTTTAAAGATTTATTTATTTATGCATACAAGAGCTGGGGTACAGGCCAGAGATGTGGGGGGTGAGAGAATTCACCAGAGACAGAGCGGGAAACAGAACAGGCAGACTGACTGAAATACTGCTAAGGGAAGCAGCGGGCGAGATAGGAGAGGTCTGCTGTGCCATGTGTGTTGCTCCCTGTCCGGCCGGGTATTGAACTCGTGCTGCAGAGGCTGCGATTGCTTCATAGTATGGTGCTTAACCCCTTGCGCCACCAGGAAGGCCCCAACAACCCTCAGTTCTTAATCTGTTTTCACTCTTCAGTTGCTCCAACTCTCACCTTTATTCTCAAAATCTGGAGCAGCTGATCTGAGGACATAGGAAAATGCCATTGGTCATGTGGATCTAATGGTATTGAGAAAGTTTAAGCAAGCAGAAAGATAGAACCTTTATCGCAAAGGGCAAGGCAGTTTGTGCTTATTGAGTGGTATGTCCACAATTATGTAAGTGATCATATTCAGTGTGGAGCTAAGTTCTCAAGATGGAGCTAACCTTTTAGAAAAGTATAGTCTTTCTTAAGTTAAAGCTGTTGGATCCTTCCCCTTTCGTTCCCTCCCCATTTACACACATTTATGTCTGTCCTGTAGGTTTGTTGTAATGGCACAAGGGTATTTGTGCAAAAGGAAATTCTTGACAAATTTACAGCGGAAGTGGTGAAAAAGACTCAAAGTATAAAAATTGGAGATCCCCTCCTGGAAGACACAAGGATGGGTCCTCTGATCAACCGACCACACCTGGAGCGAGTCCTTGGGTTTGTTAAAGTGGCAAAGGAGCAGGTGAGAAACAGTGGCACTGGGATGGGGGTGGGGGGTCAGTTACCCCGAGTGCCCAGCTGACCCTTTCCCTGTGGTGAGAGTTGTTCTACCCTCGGTGTCTGGAGCAGTGTTCTGCTTATACTTGTAGGGGGAGACTGTGCATTTGTTCAGGATACACTTAATGTTTCAGGTGTGCTTGTGGGGTAGTATATGAATATGAAATAAGCATTCTCTTCCTTTTTGGCAGGGTGCTAAAGTGTTATGTGGTGGAGACCCATATGTACCTGAAGATCCCAAATTGAAGGATGGCTTTTACATGAGTCCCTGTGTGTTAAGTATGTCCTCTTGTTAACTTTTAAACAGAAGTAAACATCAGATAGAAAAGAATATTTATAAACTATGTTGTTGCATCGGACAACACCACACTGACAAACGGGAGTCGTGGAGCAGGCTACACAATGCAGGATGCTGCTGAAGAGCAAGATCCTGGCCCTTTTATTGACACACGTAATTGGTTGTGAGGAGATTAAGGGGATTAAAGAAAGGGGAAGGGTGTTGACACACCTTAACCCCCCCCACCCATGGTTCTAATCTTATCAACAAGGGGCTCCACCAATCAGCTTCTGGTGTCCCTTGTCATACATTGATGTCCCCCCTCCACCCCCGCCGTTTCCGGTCATACCTCGTGATGTACAAGTTGGGAGTATGTGTTTTGCTTTGGTCCTCAGCCCCCTGGGCATTCTGGACAGATCTCCTGATGCACATGTTATGCATTGGTCCTCAGCAACACCCCCCCACCCTCCGGGCTTCTGGATGTACTTTGTGATGCATAACCTCCCCAGTGTGATCCAGCTTTGTGCTCTTGTTTGGTTTGAAGGGCTGAAGGGTTGGGTTCCTGTTCCTAACTGGCCAGACCACTTTGACCTTGTTTAGGTGACAAAATGGCAGCCAAATAGGCTGCCTAGGAGTAACAGAGCCACACTATGTAAATGGTGTAAAGTGAAGATTGGCAACTGTGTGTCTCCACGACCCAGATTTAAGGAGAAATTCCCTGTTACCTTCCAATTCTGTATGCCCTCCTCATGGATAGGTTAGTTTACCTGGGGCTTACTAGGTGGACCCCTGGTTTTCTGAAAGCGAGGAATTAAAAAAAAAGTTCACATTTGATAAGAGATTAAGTATTGCATTTCATCTCTCAAGAAATTTGGTAAAGAATGTGTGTTCTTTGAACTTTAGGTCATTTATACAGACATCTCAAAAATACTGTGGTTTGTTTCTAGACCACAGCTTAAAAGCCTATATTACAATAAAGTGAGTCATGAAGTCTTTGGTTTTCCAGTGCACATAAAAATTATGCTTACACTATCCTGTAGTCTGTTAAGTTGCAATAGCATTTAAAAACAATGCAAATCTTAATGACATGTGACACAGATGTGAAGTGAGCAGATGCTGTTGGGAACCTGGCACCGATAGCTTTGTTTGAAGGGTGGCCACACACCCTCAATTTGTAGAAAATGCAGCATCTACAAAGTGCAGTGAAATGAGGTATGCCTGAATAAGACTAATTTGTCAGATAGTGTGTTAATATTCTAAATAATTTCTTGACTTAGTAATTTTTAGCCTCCCACCCCTTTTCAATCTTCAATCTTTCTGATTTGGATAATCAAGTACAGAATCATCCTTCTACTTCTCTCCTACCTTAGAGGTAACCACTGCTGCCATTCCCATAGTTTTCTTTATCATTTTACAATATATATGGCATCCCTGATAATAATATTGTTATTTTGTAGATTTAAAAAAGCCATATGTAGATTGAGTTATGTTGTATAATTCCTTGCCCTTTATCTTGAAAATACAGATTCAGCTGATTTTTGTCCCTAAGGTTCATAGCGGTTTCAGCTTCGAGCCCTTGATATTTGATGCACTTTATTTTTTTTTTTTTAAGATTTATTTATTAATGCATACAAGAGCTGGGGTACAGGCCAGAAGTGTGTGGGGGGGGGGTGAGAGGATTCACCAGAGACAGAGTGGGAAACAGAACAGGCAGGTTGACCGAAGTACATTGCTGAGGGGAGCAGTGGGCGAGTCAGTAGAGACCCCCATGCCATGTGGGTCACCTCCCTGGCCTGGGATAGAACTCGTGCTGTAGTGGCTGCGGGTAGCTTCATAGGTTTCATCTTAACCCCTTGCGCCACCAGGGAGGACCCTCTTTAAGAATTTTAGAATCATCATCTTTGTAGCTGTGTGAGTGGTTGACTGACTAGTATAAAGCTGTATGGACAGTAGGGTTCTCAAGCTTTATTTCTGCCTCCACATTGTTTACACACATAGCAGGACCTCATAAGCACCACAGCTCATGCTGCATGGTCACTGCCAGCATTGAGATGGCTGTCCTTCAGGTGCAGAGCCGGTGAACACACCACTCACTTGAGAGAGCATCTGTAAATATGTATATTTTAAAATGTCAAGTGTGAAGTCATTTTCGGGAATAACAACCAGTTAGGTGAACACCCCCCTCAGTTATTTCTAAATTTGTTTTTATGTTAGATTTTCTTATTTTATTGATATAACATCTTTTCTATTTCTAACAACATAGAACTACTAAGAAAAATGGAAAAGTATAAAACATTAATATGTGTAACATTTTAACAAATTGGGAGCATATTTTATTATAGTTTGCAATTTTTTCAGTGAATGTTTTATCATGAGCATTTACTCACTAAATTTGCTTCAAACGCATTACTTTTAGAAGCTTCATAAAAATTCTTTGTTGGAATGTGTAGTTCATGTGATCATGCCCTCTGTTTGGATGATTGGTTTGTTACTTCTGGTGTTCACTGTTATAAGTCATGTTGTAATGAATGTCCTCACCTCCTTATGTTTCCTTATGATGAATCAAAAAAAGTGGACTTCGGGCCTCCCCCGTGGCGCAGGAGGTTGAGCACAGCGCTGTGATGCTGTCCGCAGCCTCTGCAGTGTGGGTTCAATCCCCGCCGACCGGCGAGGGTCCCACATGGCACGGCAGACCTCTCCTGTCTTGCCCGCTTCTTCCCTCAGTAGTGTATTTCATCAGTCTGCCTATTCTGTTCCCCGCTCTGTCTCTGGTGAATCCTCTCACCCTCCCGTGCATCTGACCTGTACCCCGGTTCTTGTATAAATAAATAAATAAATAAATAAATAAATAAATAAATAAATAAATAAATAAATAAATCTTTAAAAAAAAGTGGACTTAGAATTACACAGAGCTATGACTCACTAATACATATGTTAAATTGTCATGCAGAAAAGATGTCCCAATTGATATTATACTGGCAGTGCTTTGAAATTTTATAAAAACTATGTATTTCACTGTTTTTTGTGGACAAGAAGACATTTTCAATGCCTGAAATAACATCCCCTGATGTTTGGTTTTATAATGTTTACAGCCAATTGCAGAGATGACATGACCTGTGTAAAAGAAGAGATCTTTGGACCAGTTATGTCCATTTTATCATTCGACACAGAAGCCGAGGTTCTGGAACGAGCTAATGATACCACTTTTGGATTAGCCGCTGGTGTCTTCACTAGGTATGTGGGGCAGTCACCCCAACATCTTTGAAGAAAGGGGCTGCCATGTCTGCTTTGTCATGAATGTAATTATTCTGATTCCCTCTTTGGAATTGCCCTCATGCATTTTCTCTCTTTATTTTTGCTTTATTTATTCCCCAGTTATATTAAGATATAATTGACATATACCATTGTATTAGTTTAAGGTGTACAACACAGTGATTTGAAATATATATATCATGAAATGATTGCTTCACTAACTAACATCCATCACCTCACAAAGTTGCAATATTTTTTGTGTTTAAACATCTACTTTCTTAGCAACTGTCAAATACAGGATACAGGATATTTTTTTAAAGATTTATTTATGCATACAAGAGTTGGGGTAAGGCCAGATGTGAGGGGGGGTGAGAGGATTCACCAGAGACAGAATAGGGAGCAGAAAGGGCGGATTGACTGAAATACACTGCTGAGGGGAGCAGCGGGCGAGACAGGAGAGGTCTGCTGCTCCATGTGGGCCACCTCCCTGGCTAGGGACCAAACTCATGCTGCAGTGGCTGCTGATAGCTCGATAGTGCTGCGTCTTAATGTCTTGCACCACCAGGGAAGCCCCTATGATACATTATTGTTAACTGTAGTCAGCATGCTGTGCTGTCCATTCCTAGCATTTATTTGTCTTTTAACTAGAAGTTTGAATATGTACCCATTGAAGCCCCTTCAGCCATCCCATTACAGTAGAAGTAAGAAGTGATTTGAGAGCAAAATATCTTTGAAAATGAGTGCACATTGCTTGATAGTATGTAAACTTTGATTAGTAGTTGGCAGCAGGAGATAGTGTTCTAAGGCTGCATTATGCTTGGGATTATACTGTTTGGTGACATACGAGATTAAGTTTTTGTCACTTTGTGTTTGGGGCTCTGGAAGGGAAGTCCTGATGTAACAGCTTCTCCTTGCACTCTGAAGGAATGTTCTAATTTTAGAAAATGGTTTATCATCCTCAGAACATTAACAGTCAGGCTTCATTCCCCCTTCCTCAAGCCCACTAATTCACTCTTTGTCTCCAAAGATTTGCTTATTCTGAATATTTTGTATCAGTGGAATCATACAGTGTGGGACCTTCTGGGATGGGCTCCTTTCACTTAGTTTTCAAGTTTCATTTATTTTTTATTTATTATTATTATTCTAAAAAGATTTATTTATTTTTATTTTATACAAGCTTTGGGTACAGTCAGAAGCGCAGGAGGGTGAGAGAATTCACCAGAGTCAGAGCGGAGAGTAGAGCAGGCAGACTGACGAAGTACACTGCTGAGGGGAGCAGCGAGCGGCAGGAGAGGTCTGCATGCCATGTGGGACCCTCACCCGGTGGCTGGGGATTGAACCAGTGCTGCAGAGGCTGTGGGCAACTTCGCAACCCAGCACTCAACCGCTGCCCCACCAGGGAGACCTGGTTGTGAGCTGTCTTTTTACTTTCTTTTCTCATTTGCAGCATAAAAGTCTTATTAAACATTGATAATACTTTAATTATTCCATTTTTTTCTTCTGTCCCTTATTTTTCATGTCATGTCTAAGAAGATTATAGCTAATCCAAGGTCACAAAGATTTATTCCTGTTTTCTTTGAAGAGTTTTATGATTTTAAGTCTGTGATCCATTTTAATTAATATTATGTATGGGGTAAGGAAAGGGTCTCTTCATTCTGTTACATGTGAATGTCTTGTGGTTTCAGCACTACTTGTTGAAATGGCTCCTTTTTTACCCACTGAAATGTTTTGGCATCTTTGATGTTAGAATTTACTTTTTTGATGCTTTTGGATGAGACTATAAAACTCATCCTCAGTTGTTTTACTTGAATGACAAAAGATTTTAAACAAGGTTTTGAAGAAATAAGACTTGGCTATATTTTGAGACCTTAAGAACTGGCAGTTTAACTTGACCTGTTAAAGTTGTAGAAGAAACTTGTTGCATTGGGTAACACCACACTGATAAAGAAATGGGAGTCGTGGAGCAGGCTACATAATGCAGGATGCTGCTGAAGAGCAAGATCCTGGCCTTTTTATTGATATACAGCATTGGTTGTAAGGGGGAGGGGCTAAAGGAAAGGGGAAGGAGAGTAAGGAAAGGGGAAGGAGTAGAAGATCAGGGATTGTGAGTCTGCCCTCCAGGCACTTCTTATCTGCTTGCTGACTCGGTATTGTCATTGAGATCACATCATAATCTCCCAGGCATGGTTTTAATCTTATCAACAAGATGGGCCACTGATCAGATTCTGGGGTCCTTTGTTATACATTTGTCCTCAGTGTTGTCCCCCCCCCCCACCGAGCATTCCCAGTTATACCTCGTGATGCATAACCTTCCCAGCGTGATCCAGCTTTGTGCTCTTGTTTGATTTGAACGGCACCTTGCAGGGTTGGGCTCTGTACCTAACTGACCAGGCCATCTTGACCTTGCTTAGAACTATAAGTGACAATATGGTGGCCAAACAGTCCGCTTAGGAGTAGCAGACCCACAGAAACTGAATTATGGACACGACTTTTCCTTCACAGGGACATCCAGCGTGCTCACAGGGTAGTGGCCGAGCTTCAGGCTGGGATGTGCTTCATTAACAACTACAACCTCAGTCCCGTGGAGTTGCCCTTTGGTGGATATAAGAAGTCAGGTGAGGAGCCGGCAGGTGTGAGAGCACCTGGGTCTCTAGAGAGTGCTGTAATCTAGTTCTTACAGCCCAGGTTCCTAATCCCGTCTATGCATCTGAATCACCTGGGGAGATACAGAGATTCCTGGTCCTCCCCAGAGTACCTGCACCCAGCTCTGAGAATCTTTTACTGCTTTTCTAAAGCTCTCCAGAAGGTTCTGATACAGAAGCAGCCTGGCTGTTAACTGCTGCTGTACAGCTCAAAAAGGTTTATCGTGGGGGAATTACTTTCCTTCACAGTCTGTGGTTGTTGTAAGCCACTCCTGGCCTTCTGTACCAAGAGCTCACATACTGTGTCCCTAAAGCAGGAGCATATGAATTTATTTTCTGTTACACTAAATTAATAAAACTCCCTCAATCTCATATTTAACAGTCAGTCACAGTCAACGTCATGCCACTGGCCAGCCTATGGGGATATTTCCCTTAGCTACTGCCCAGTCATTTCCTTTACCACCGATCACTCGGCTGTGACCACAACAGGCCAGGTTTTCTAAGTCTAATGTGTTAGGAAAGTCCAGGCATCAGGGGTTTGTTGCCTGTAAATATTCACTGGTAGCCCTCACTCTTCTGTGTGAACGTTGGTCTGGACTTTGTGGAGACACCATTTGTAAAGGCTTGTCTGTAGGAGTGCCCCGCTTCTCACACCCTGACCCCACGAAAACCCTCCTCTTGGGCCTTCTTATTTCCACTCTGCCTCTCCCCACCTTAGTCTTTTCTACACAGCACCAAAGTGATCTTAAAGCACAAATCAGATCCCTTCTGACTGCCCCTAAAACTCACAAGAAGCTTCTGTTCACTAAAGTCTGCTCTCCACACCGTGACCCTGAGGGAGTCCCGTGTTTCTCAGGCTGCAGGTTGTCACCCATTAGCAAAATCAGTCTAGTGGGTTGCAAACCATCATTTCCTTTTTACTGAAATCAGTTAGAATGGAACAGAACAGTTTATCACACATAGTAAGGTAAATATGGTCGCATGAAACTTTGGTGTCTGTTACATCTATTCATGTTTACATGTGACCTGGCTGCTGGGGGTCAAGATCACGAAAGTCCGATTTCACTGCAGTCAGGTCCGGGCCACCTTCCCCTCACGCTCTGCTCTCCCATGTGTACTCTCCCATTTCTGTTCTTATATCTGTTCTGCCCCACCATCCTTTTTATTCAGCCTGGAATGGTCTTTGTTTATGCTTTCAGCAACTAGCATCTCTGTCCTTTAATTCTCAGCCTGTCACCTCCTCAGAAAAGCTATCCCTCACTCTCATCTAAAGTAATTCTCCCCACTATTGCTCTCTCTTATTACTTGTTTTCATCTACTCTGTGCTGCGAAAATGAAAGCTCTGTGAAGGCAGGGAATGTGCCTGTGTTGTTCACATGCCCAGCATGCAGTGGGCATGGGAGAAGCCTCTGTGGAGGGCAGGGAGGCAGCCTGGATTGGCCAGGTGACTGTGGACAAGTCACCTCCTCAGTTCCTCCCTTTGGCATGGGAGTTTAAACACAGTACTCCTAATGGCCTCAGCACTGACATTTTGTGATTCTTTTATCTGGATCTGGAAGGTGGGTTGGGATTAATTATCACTTTCCTGCTTAGAGGCTTTTTTCATTTCCCTTATTTTCCCACTTGATTTTTGCAATAGCTTTTAGAGGAGGCTGGTCAGGCTTTTCTTGATGTCATCTACAATGTCATCTACATATAGAGCACCCAAAACTGTGACTTAGGAATTTGCTCAAACTAGCAAGCCAGCAAAGCTAGCTTTCAAGCCTACGCCTTGGACTTCTACTTTCATACTTTTTTTCTACAAAATTAGTAAGATAAAATAAAGGCATCAGGATAATGGTTGTAGAGAAAGTCTGTGCCTTCTCAGACATCAGCCCAGAGGAGTAAATACCTGCAGTATGTGGTAGGTCTCGGTGGCAGATGTGGTGACATGCACCGGTGGAGGAGGTGTGATCCTGCCTCTGAGTCACAGACAGTGCTGTGAACCAGTGTTACCTCAGTAAAAATAGATTCCTACTGGTAGGAAATGAGACCTGGCTCTTCCCCTGTCCCCATCCTCAAAAGCCAGTGGGACACTGTCCCCCAGACCAGCTCCACAGCTCCTATATGTATTTGAGGACTTGGTCTCAGAACTGTAAGTTCTGTATTATTCTCCAGCCCTGCCTTTGACAATTGCCAGGTCCTCTCACACCACTGCAGCGATGGCTCTTAATCACCCCTTTTCTTCCTTTCAGGGTTTGGCAGAGAGAATGGCCGTGTGACCATTGAGTATTACTCACAGCTCAAGACCGTGTGTGTGGAGATGGGTGATGTGGAGTCTGCTTTTTGAAGACAACTGGTCAGCATGGCCAGGCTGTGGACTGTGGACCATGAGAGGCCGTTGAGTTGCTTGCTGTTCTAAATCCAGATGTGTGGCCATTCAGGATAGGGGAGTGGCCAGTGTTATTCTTCAGCTGCTAATCATCTTCCTAATTGAAAATGTGCACAAGTGCCTTTTAGATATTAAATCAAGAACGTTGTGATCTATTCTGTGAGAGCAACATGATTCTGGAGAGCAGATTGGGGCAGGATTGCATCGACATATATCTGACTGTGGATACTGTCCATTTCCTAGCCGGCTTTAAAAAGTTTGTTCCTTTACAGGTTCCTGATTGAGTCAGCACAGATGATTTCTGCTCCCTGATATTTTTAAGTGCTGGCCCCTTATCACTCTCCCCTGACAGGAAGGGAGGGGAATAGATAATGGATGGGGTCATGTGCTGTGTGAGTGAATGTGAACTTGCTGGGCTAGCACCGTGTTTCCACCTAGTGCTGTCTCCAATTCCTGAAGCAGAGTTTGCTCTCTGGGGTGGAAGAGTGACCACGTAAAGGTACACATTGGTGGGTTATTGTAGCATACTGAAATTAAATCACACTGCTCATCCTTTCATGTCATGTTTTGAAACTAAATATATCTTAAGATCATAGTCTGACCAAGGATAGGGCTGAAGTTACAAGTACAGGACAGAGGGTTTGATCTTGTTTGCAATGAGCACACAAGGGCAGGCGGCAGTTGCTATAATAAAACTTTTAAGGCCCAGGTAAGCTGCAGGCTCCCCACCCTCCGGAGCAGAGCTTGGCCTCGAAGGGCTGTCCGGTCGCCGTGGCCTTTGGGCTGTAGGGGCTTCAGGGCCTTTCAGCGGCCTCACTCTGCTGCTCCTTTCCATTCAGGGGAGTAGTTTGCGTCTAGGAGCTATACTAGTGAGGTTCTCTAGAGGAACAGAGCCAACCGAGTAAGTAGATCAGTTATGAGAAATGTTGCATGTGATTATGGAGTCTGAGAGGCCCCACAGTCAGCTGTCTGGACTCCCAGGGAAGCTGGAAATGTAAATCAGTCCGAGAGCGAGGGCCTGAGAGCCAGGGGAGAAGCTGGCTTAAGTCTGAATTCCGAGTCCTGCGATCCAGAAGCTCAGGTGTCCGACAGAAGGGTAAGATGGATGTCTCAGTACAAGCAGAGAGAGAGCTCACCCTTCTTTTGCCTTTTTGTTTCAGCCCTGAATGAATTGGATGCTGCCTACCCGCATTGGCTTTACTCAGTTCAAATGCTAATAACTTCTGCAAACAGTCTCATAGATGCACCCGGAAATAATGTTTTACTAGCTATCTGGGCATATGTGTCCAGTGTACACTTGCTTAAAGTGTCATGGTCAAATGGTTAAAATTAACCATTATAATAGCTAATTCTGTGGTCGTAGGTAAGGCATGATTCTTGTTATAGGGCCTGTGTCTAATTATATGTGATAGGCAAATCCTGTCCATACAAAGGATGAGAACACTTGAATCTTCACAGATAGTGCAGATAGGACACTGAGCAAGCCACACAGTGTCTTAGGGGATTCTGGTGTGACTTAGACACTGGGAGAAGACAAGTTTCTGGCAGTTCCTCAAGGAGAAAGCAGGAGAGAGAACAAACACGTGAGTGCCCTCTGTGTTGTGCTGTGTCCCTCTCAGTTAATGCTACAGTGAGCACAAGAAGGTATTAGCCCTGATTTCTAGGTGAAGAAACAATTTATATACAGAAGGTAGCCACAGGCCCTTTCTTTTCTCCCTTTGACCTTCACTCTGTGCACCCCTAGATCTACCACTAGGGGTAGATCAAATGGGATAAAGGTGACCAAGCCTTAGCAATTAAATGAGGCTGTGAAAAACCACCAAAAAATTACTCAGCAGTGAGCCATCTTTTCAAAGTAAATCAGCTTTCATCATGCTCTTGCTTTAGATGCTACTCTGGCTTTTAATTGTGGCTGAACTTCTCACTGTTCTCTGATGTCAGCCTCTCCTACTCTTCCCCACTCACTGCTCTGTGGGGCTTGTTCTTCCTCAGGAATCCCACTTGGCTGTTTATTAAACCTGAGCATATATTCCCTCCAGGTCCTTGCCTTACAGGCTCCTTAAAGCTAGATGCTAGAAGTGTTCCTCAGTGCTAGAGTAGCCACACATGCCCCCTACCTGGTGTCCTATTTAATGTATGTCAGAGCATTGCTGATCATGTGTTCTCCAATTAGAATGTAAACTAAAACCCACAAATGTCCTGTCCTGTTCTCCATGTTTGCGCGAGCAGATTAGCAGGCCTGACCTAGAACCTGGCTGCTCAGTGCAGGTCTTAGAGATGCAGCCTGAGCTCAGACTCTACATCCGAATCTGTATATTAACAGGAGCCTCAGGTGAGTCTTATGCATTGTTTTGAAGGCAAAAGTTCTCAATGTTGGCTGTGCATCTAGAATTACCCAGAGAAAGTTTTAAAAGTCCTGAGATTCTAATTTAACTGAACAGGTGTCTGGCCTGGACACCTGGATTCTCAAAAGGTTCTGCCCTGGGAATTTAATGGGCAGCCAACGTGAGAACTGCTTTCCCACTGTGTTACTGAAGCACAGTAGCCACTTGCCATATATAATCACTCTAATTAAAAACAAACAAGGGCCTCCTTGGTGGTGCAAGAGGTTAATTCACAACACTATGAAGCTATCTGCAGCTATTGCAGCAGAGTTTGATCCCCAGCCAGGGAGGTGACCCACAGGGTGCAGCAGACCTCTTCTGTTTCACCCACTGCTCTCCTCAGCAATGTGTTTCAGTCAATCTGCCTGTTCTGTTCCCCGCTCTGTCCCTGGTGAATCCTCTCACCCCCGCACCTCAGGCCTACACCACAGCTCTTGTATGCATAAATAAATCTTAAAACTAGGTAGTTGCTCTAGCCAAGTTTCAAATACTTAAAGCCACATGAGGGTAGCAGTTACTGTACTCAACCTGGGAGATGGGGAGTATACCCATCATAATTTCCACTGGATAGTGATGCTTAAGAAGGAAGGCACCCAAAGCTGTGCAGTGTTCAGTGGAGTTAGGAGGGCATCTTTGGAGGCAAGTGCTATCGGCAATGTGAAGCCGGGCGTTTGGAACATAGGGGATAACCTGGTGACTGACAAAGTTTCACCAGCAGGTGGCTCCTGTTCTATTGCATCTGGTACTTGACCTCAACTGGCCTTGGCTGTGGGAGCCCCTAGCTGGGCACTGCACGTGCACCATGGGTTGACCCTCACAAACTTTAGACAAGTTACCATTATCCCCAATTTGCTTCAGGGCAAACTGGGGCTTAGGGAGGTGAAAAACATGCCCAGGGGCACACAGTTGTTTGCTGGGGGGCCATGCTTCAGAGAGGTGTGGAGTGACCATGGGCTGTGGTTCTAACTCCATCTGGAACAAAACTAGGGGTGTTTTTCTATAGAAATAAGCTGCTTGGAATGTACACTGCCAGTTTAGCTATAAGTGGTAGCAGTACTTAACGCCAACTTCCCCCACAAGATAAGGAATTTAACAGTTACGAGCTTGCCAGACAAGGAGATATCTTCTCCAAAGCAGTAATCTACAAACTGTCAAGCCCTAGGGACCCAGGGAGTCCTGTGGGGGTGGCCTGGGTTCCCTACTCCACTCTCAGCACCTGTTTATGTATTGGGGTTCCTTATGAAAGTTTATTGGAGCCCATTCTGTAAGAGCAAATGATAAAGATGGATCACATTGAAAGCATTCCTTGCTGAGATTTGAAACAAAGGTGAAGACCCAGCTTTGTCCCCAGGTGTCCTCCACCTGCTCACTGATGCCTGAAACCTCCACCAGGGCTCACCTCTAGGTGCATTTCCTATGTAACAAAAACCAAAAAGACTAAACTAAACAAAAACCCAGCTTCCTGCTAACTCTTAATTGTATTATTTAAGTTAGAGATCCCCAAAACCTGCCATTCACCATCACCTTTATTTCATAAAGGGGTATCTTACTGTAAAAAAGAATACAAGTCAAGCCTTAGGAAAACAGCTCTCATTTTCCTTATTTTGCTCTAATGCGTGAAAATTTCCCAGGAACTAGCTGTGGGGATTATAGGGAACTAGCTCCACATTATCAAATGTCTGAGGGCTCCAGGGGCTCACCTGGATGAGACTGGGCCTCCTCAGTGGCAGACCAGAGCCTTAAAACACTTCACGTCCGATCAGTGATGGGGTGATGGAGAAGGCATGGATTTGGGAGGCCTGCATGCAAATTCTCGCTAACCCTCGTAAGCTACTGAGCACTTGAAATATGCTCAATTCCAGTTCCTAAAAAACTGACTTTTTGTTGTTGTATTTAAATGTTATTAATTGAAATGTTAGTAGCCACACATGGCCAGCAGCTGCCATGTTGGCCGGTGCTGTCTGGACTCTGTCGATGGCCACATTTGTTTTTTGGAGCAGCCATCTCATTCTGTCAACTGGCATCATTGTCTAAATCAGCAAAACCTTGTATGCCTTCCATTTTTTGTTGCTAATAGTACCCATCCCTATTTTTTTTTAATTTAAAGATTTATTTATTTTTATGCAAGAACTGGGGTACAGGCTAGAGGCATGGGAGGGTGAGAGGATTCACCAGAGACAGAGTGGGGAGCAGAACAGGCAGATGGACCGAAGTAACTGCTGAGGAGAGCAGCGGGTGAGACAGGAGAGGTCTGCCTCCCCATGTGGGTCTCTCCCTGGCTGGCAGAAAATCGAACTGGCGCCACAGAGGCTGCAGACAGCTTCACAGCACTGTGCTCAACTCGCTGTGCCACGGGGAGGCCCAGTATCCATCCCTATTTTTACCTGAGCCATCAGTCCTTTGTATCCAAATGTTAGAAGTTACTTTCATCTCTGAGCTGACTCTTCTTAGAAGTTTATCATTTCAGTTTTTAAGCAATAAAAGCTTCTTTATGAGATCTTAAAAACCAATGTTACCCTAACAACAAGTGATAAACTTGTAACTAGAGTTAAGACTTTCCACCTTTCACCTCCACATTTTCACCAGAGTGGCATGATTAGGACCATACTTCTACAATTAGATATTTCCCAACTCTACCTCCTTGGTAGCACCTGCTGGCAGGGTCAGGGGTGCGCCACACCTGTTTCTCCTCTCATCTAGGAGAAAAGGTCACTTGTTTTAGGAAAAGACTCACAAATAAATGAGAGTCAGGGTTAGGTTATGAGGCTGATGCCAGCTAAGTTTTTATTACATTAAAAAAAAAAGTAACTGGAAATAAAAGTAAGTCACTCAAAATGAATGAGAGCTTCCAAACACCTGGTAATTCTTTAATGGCAGCATTTAGATCCACTGCCCAGGCCAGTTTTGACCCAACCAAGATGCTGGAAGGCAGAGCACACAGTTGTGCCCATCAGGGCAATGAGGGCGATGGATCCCAGGGCTCCCCGACTTCGCTTGCTCGGTTCTGAAAAAAAAAGAAAAGAGGAGAAGTTACAGGGGATGCTGCAGAGGAACGCTGCTCACAGCATCCACAGCCATTCTGATGAGGCTTCTGGACTGGACATTAAAGCATCTCTCCTAAGAGGTCAACCAACTCTTTAGCCTAAAACTGTGGGCAAAGTACTGTGTCATAATAGGGCTGAAAAATCTTAGACTCTCTGGGAAATACGGTGGATACCACAGGGGAAGGGTGTGGGGTGGAAAGGTGAGAAGCAGTCAATTTGATAGTGTATTGGTAGGCAAGTGAGGCTCATATGCATATCAAGGTGTGAAGCTGTACTCCGAATTATACAGTTTTGTAAACAAAGGGCAAATCAGTAACATCTGATTTTAAAAAATTAGAAAAAATTTGGTATAATAGAGTAACATTGTTCTAGGACCTTCGGGAGTATTCCCCACTTCTCCAAAGAAGTAAGTACAGCTCAGAAAGTCTGTTTTTGCCTCTTCCCTCTTGGGAACAGCATTTAAAGTGGTAGGTAGGAGCAGGGGCTCTGGGGTTGCCCTGGGTTTGTATCTGGCTTAAAGTTGACGTAGCTCTGTGACCTAGAGCCTCAATCTTGCTAAACCTGGATTCCCCCATGTACAAATAGACTCCTGTTGACTAGATCATACAATTGTTGTAAGACTAAATAGCATATGCAACATTCTTAGAAGAGCAGGTGACACAGAAAATACTAACAGCAAGTCTGTTACTACTTAAAGGTTAGTAAAAGAGTAAATAATGGACCTTTCACCTAAAGATCAAGTTCCTTTCCCTTTTTCAGAAATCTTGCTAACAAGACAAACGCAGCAGCAGCAAATTTCAAATGTGTGTCCGTGGCAGTTGCCCACCTATACTTACCTCCTGTGTAATAGCCATAAGCATAAAGAACTCGTCCAACAATCCAGGCTAAGCCCAAGCCAGAAACTATACGCTAAAATAGAAGAGCTACATTAGTATTTGCATTAAAGAAGCAGGCAATAAATACTTTATTAACATGTGGGTTGATTACACAATGTTTTAGCAAAAAGTTAATAATTTCATGGAAATGGTAAAACACACTGACAAAATTAGGGTACAATTCAGATCTGTTTGGGGATGGAAGCTCGTGTTCACTTTCTTAGGTGGGGGGAGGAACCTGCCCACCTGGGGATTGGAACCTGAGCCCTGGGGACTCAGGGTACAAGGGCACAAGGGCACAAGGGAAGAAGGAGCCGGATGGAGGCCCAGAGTGAGCCAGAGGAGGAGATGACCTCTGTCAGGCTAGCAGAGAGGCCCTGTTGTCTCAAATGGGCCTCTAATTGGAGATGGATCTCCACCTCCAGCTACCATGTGAAGCTCCATTTGAACAACGAGGAGAATGAATGATGTAAACCCCAAAATGTGTGGTGTTGGAGGAGAAAGTCTCTGTGTGTTCCCCAATATCTGAGGAGAGAGAGTAAACACTTAGGTAAGATGAAAATCTTTCCATTTGGGTGCATCCTGGGGTCACCCATTTAGTCAGAGGGAGTCAGGAGAAAATAAGAAAGAAGCTATGTGAGAAACTACTTGTCACCCTTCTTGGTGACTCTCCGACTTAGTGGGGTGGTAAGGCTACTCCCTTAGAATTTTTAGTTGCTATTGGGGGATGTTAAATATCAGTAAGAATAGGAAAAGAATAAAAATAAAAACCCCAGCTCCTCAAGTCACTGTCTACGATCTCTGTGGTTTCTGCGAGGCCATTTTTACTAGAATTTCATGGAATGACCATCAACCTGGGAACAATATTAGCTGCCTGTCCGCAAAGTAGTTGTTAAGAGTGTTCGAAGGACTAAGCAAGAGAATGAGATCTAGGGAAGTGGGGCAGGAATGGGGGGTGAGGTGGACATCAGGCGATGCCTGTGAGTCTATTCAGTGAGTCTATTCAGACCAGCCAACTTAGTCACTTGCTAGGACTGCAGCTCCCTAGGGCCAGGAGAAAGAAATATCTTCTCTAATGTTTCCTTGGAAAAATGTAAGACTTCAGGGTCTTAAACGATAGTGGCCATACTGGCCACTTCTTAAAAGCACAAGGATATTCAAGTGCAGACCAGGGGATTATGAAATGTTTAGCACTGGAAGTGTGAAGTGCCAGGATTCTGATAAGATCAACTCAGGAAATCTGGCCCCTGGATAGGAAACACTTTTTCTCTAAGGCAAGCCCTGAATGGCAACTAATCAGGGTCAGATAAACTTGCTTTTGTAGGTGAATTATAGTGCAGCTCAGAGGGCCCTCCAGTGTTCTCATGGTCCACAGGACCCCTGACTGGCCCCCACCTCCAGTTCCCCCACTGAAGCTGTGCTGGCCTCATTGCTCACTGTGGACCTCACCCTCACTCCTCTGTCTGGAAGATGTGGGGACATCTGCAGCACCTGCTTCCTCTCCTTCTTTAAGTCTTATTTAATCATCACCTTCTCAGCAAGACCCCTCTGCGCACCCACCCATTCAAAGCTGTCTCCCGCCCTAGTGCTCCCTTTGCACTATCCTTGTCTGCCCTTCCTGGCATGCATCATCTGCTAATGGACTACAGAGAGCAGTCAGGTGGATTTTTTTCTGTGTGACCTACAGTCTCTGCCTCTTTTGTAGGCTGCTGTAAAATATTAATCACCCCAACTGATCAGCAAATGTTGCAAAGAAAGACTAGGCAAAAGAAGACTGATATACATGAACCATTTAGAATTACACAGACCTGGGTTTGAATGCTGATGTCTCTATTCTACAATTATCTGATATTGGGAAAGTTACATCATGTCCAAGACGTTTCTCGGAAAAGTTGACTTACTTTAAACAATTCTGTAAAAAGTAACTGAATAAGATTCTTTTAAATACATGATACTGAGACGGTGAAGATGTTTATTAAACATTCATTTCCTTCTCCCTTCCCTGACAGCTTAGTGCACTAAATGCAAATAGATGGAAAACCTTGGGAAAACTTACCGGGTGGTAAACACCTCCAACAGCTAGAAAAAATAAGAAGGGAGGATACACTTCCAACCTGGAATAGACAGAGACTTTTTTTAAAGAAGTGCCCTATTTAAGTATGCCTATGTAACACCTTGCATTCTTACTTGCTTAGTTAGAATCTTGAGTGTAAAAATAAACATTGGCTGGGGAAATAAGATGCAGTTACTAAGATCCACCTTTTTTTGCTTTGCCTGAGATTGGAAGAAATTCAGAACACGCTGAGTAAGGGAGCTCAAATCTAATGAACGGGGGAGGTCTTGGCAGACTGAGCAGATTTCTGTACAGAGCTCAGTGCCTCTCATGCCTCTGTATCAGTTTAGATGGAGCATCTGCCAACATTGGAGAAGGGTACTGCCACTTTGAAGACATTTTGGGGAGGACTATCGAGAATCCTGCCATTCTAATAACTACTAATCTTAATGTTAAATCTGTTCACATACATATATTTTTATGATACGTTTAATGACTGCCCATGATCATCATTATCCAGCACAGTGCTGAGTCAGATCACCCATTTTGCAGGTGGTGCCTGGCGGGGCCAACACTCACGTGTTCTGGTGGGCTCGCTGAATGCAGTTGAAGAGGTGCCCATTTTCAGGGTCGGTGCTGTACATGATAGGATACTGTTAAAAACAAAGTGCATGTTGATCAGCTGGTCAAAACACCATTAGAGTTAAAACAGCATTGATGCTTGTAATCTATCCCACAGCACCTTCTATCATGCCCCTCACAGGTGATACTTTCTGCTTAAATATTGGCAGCAACAAAGGTCTCAATTCTCAGAGGCAGATTCATTCTGCCTCTATTAATATTCAGTAAGAAGATTATGTCTGTGCCGTAGCTGCACAGGGGAGAGGCAGTGTGTGCCAAACTCTGTGCTTTTGACATTCTGCCATCACTGGTGGATTTCGGAGGCGTTGCAAAGATGCCACAGGAAGCGAGTGGCTCCTTCCTGAGAGTCATCACATACCACATCTTTCTAAAATTTCACTTAATGCGGGAACTGAAATTGAGTGCATGAGAATTTTAATGAAAGTGTCCCCTAAAAAAAAAAAAGGGAAACTAGATACAAAAACATTAAAAGAAAATCTAATTAGGGAGTCTAAACAGACACACACTTAAAATTGCTCCCCAGGGACAACGTCCATAACCACTCCTTCTAGATGAGCTAGAACTAAATAAAGTATTTACTAGGCCTCCTCCCTGGCTCTAATATCCCAGCCCAAGCTCACCTCAGTATCACCTATTTTTTTCTCTATGGGGAAATAGGAATATCATTATAAGGCATAACTTTTAAAGTGGCACATCAGGAAACACAGTCATTATCAAACTCTCTTTAGAAAATAACACTCTTGGGCCTGCCTGGTGGCGCAGCGGGTTGAGCCCCACGCTGTGAAGCAGTCCACAGCCTCTGCAGTGCGGGTTCGATTCCCGGCTGGCCAGGGAGAAACCCACATGGCGCGGCAGACCTCTCCTTGTCTCGCCCGCTGCTCCCCTCAGCAGTGTCTTTGGTCCGTCTGCCTGTTCTGCTCCCGGCTCTGTCTCTGGTGAATTCTCTCACCCTCCTGTGCCTCTGACCTGTACCCCAGTTCTTGTATAAATAAATAAATCTTAAAAAAAAAAAGAAAATAACACTCTTCCTAGCAAATAGCTCCAGCCAAGAGCAGATTGCTTGAATCCCACCACACCTGGTCGTTTTGAAGACACAGAATAAAAACAAGATGGAAACGACTCCTCAGCAGAGCCCTAGAGGTTCTGCTTTTTGCTGCCAGGAGGGGGCAGCACTTCTGACAGGTACAGATCTGGAACTGCCACCTGGGACCACGAGTGAGAACAGTCCTTGCCCACTCCTCCCTTACCTCCCCCTCTTCTTGGCCACCCCCTAGGGTGTATATACAAGCACAGCTGTGTCTCACTCACCTCCACCTTGTACTTCTTGCGGGCCTTGGCGACGTTGATGGCTAGGTGAGCTACCATGATGAAGCTGGCAGCGCCAGTTAGAACCACAAAACCATATTCCTTAGAGAGCACGGCCATCCTGGCTCTGGGGAGAGAGAACACGTTAGGAGCCAGCCCAGCCCCACGGCACCATCTGCATCAGTCACAGGGAGCACGATGCTTCGTGACCAGCAAACACACACCAACAGCTGCAAAAAAAGGTTGGGACCTGATGTGTCTAGGAGGTTAGAGATGTTACTGTGCATCACACAACAGAATTTTAAAATTATCCAGGTATGGGAGGTCAGCTAGACTGGATATATACAAATACCCAGTCATTACCTGTACACCTGAAATGTGTATTATAATGTTGGATGTCAATGAAAGCTCAGTTTTGAACATTTATTTTAAATGATTCAAGTATGCAATATAGATACAGCACAGCTCATGATCATATCTTGTGTTCTCCTTGGGCCTGGGTGCTCTGGATCAACATTGCATTAACAAGATTTATTGAGACTGTTGCAGTAGACCCTGCAACAGAATGACATAGTCACTGAAAACCACCTTTTGGGAAAATATTTAATGTGGCAAAATGCTAAAGAGAGACTATAAAACTGTAAGTACATGGTGATTCCAGGGTTTCTGCTTGTGGGTGATCTGGCATGGGGGATCCTGTAAGGGCAGAAACCTTGGAGCATGTGCTAGTATAGCAGCAGAAATATCAAAGGCAGGGAAGGCCCAGTTCTAGTGCTTTGAAAGCAGAATATGACTCTTGCACCTGTAATGCTGTCAAGACATACAGTTAGGGGCAGCTTCTGGGGAAGCAGAATGCTGAAACCAAGGGCAACCCGTTGCGGCAGCTGCTCTGCTCCCAGAGGGAGAGATTGTGTTTGGGTGTCATCCTGTGCGCCAAGCAGAGAGAGTGTGCTTCCAGATACTTGTGGAATACTTGAAGCAAGCTGCAACTCCAGGTGGCTTTCAGGAAGGACCCTTAGTGATGAACTTAATGTACTATGTACAGTTGTTTTATAATGATGAATTCCTGAAATTTATACAATGTTATAATGCAATGTTACTTCAATTAAAAAAAAAAAATTTAGGGCCTCCGTGGTGGCCCACGGGAGTTGAGTGCAGCACTGTGAGGCTGTCCACAGCCTCTGCAACATGGGTTTGACCCTGGCTGGCTGGGGAGATGCCCACATGGCACAGCAGACCTCTCCTGTCTTGCCCACTGCTCCCCTCAGCAGTGGATTTCAGTCAGTCTGCCTGTTCTGTTCCCCACTCTGTCTCTGGTGAATCCTCTCACCCTCCTGTACATCTGGCCTATACCCCAGTTCTTGTATGCATGAATAAATAGATCTTTAAAAAAATATTTTTTTAATAAAGAATCAGCTTAATTCACTCTGGGTTAAAAGAAAAAGAAACCCATCATTTTCCGAATCCTTATTTACTGAGGAGTCCAGAGATGCTCCTTAGAGTTGGCCTCTGTGGTTCAGGTGCAGATGTGGACACTGGGGAAGGGAAGGTGGCTCAGTTCATGGTGATCACACCCAGGCGGCCGCAGCCACACCCAAGGCTCTGCTGCCTGCAACCAGCAGATAACTTCAAGGGCACAGGCATGAGCAGCTGATTACTGGCAGAGCTCTCTCTGGCATGAGCCTCCATTCAAAACACACACCACATTTTGTTGATTACATACTTGCCCTGGGTCACTAGCAACCCTTTTATCAACCAATGAGATAAGATTGTTGGGGGAGGGAACTGGGCCTAATACTTTGTCTTCTACATGATACCAGGCACACAAGAGTCCAAATAGTCCTTTCCATGCAGGTAGAGATTACTCTGCAATCCACTTCGTTATCTAAGAGCATTTGCTAATCAGTAGGCAGTGTTACTGGTCACATATCAGCTGCATAAATAAAAATTTATTATGTGTATAAATAAAAATGTATTTGGATGTATATTTAAATATTAATTTATATTTGTAAAATATAAATTTAAAGTAATTTATACCCTTATACACAGCTGGGGGAAGTATGAAATAGAACCATTTGGCAGACAGCCTAAGGGGGCAGTTTTCACATTATTTGCAACTGTGGGCTCATTAATCCTAGTGGGACTATATCCTGAGGAAACAAGCATAAATGCAAACAGATTGACTTCAAAGACATATTCACTTCCACACTATTTGTAAAGGCAAGCCCAGGAATGGTACCGATGCCTAAGCATGAAGTACTAATTAAATAAGACACCCGGGGCCTCCCCTGGTGGCACAGTGGTTGAGTGCTGGGCTGCGAAGCTGCCCATAGCCTCTGCAGCGCCAGTTCGATCCCCGGCCGCTGGTGAGGGTCCCACATAGCGCACAGACCTCTCCTGCTGAGCCCGCTGCTCCCCTCAGCAGTGTATTTCGTCGGTCTGCCTGTTCTGTTCCCCCTCTGGCTCTGGTGAATTCTCTCACCCTCCTGTGCTTCTGACTGTACCCAGTGCTTGTATAAATAAATAAATAAATAAATAAATAAATAAATAAATAAATAAAGTTTATAAATAAGACACCCATAAAATGGGATATTATATAACCATTAAAAATATGAAGTATATATAAAATATATAATTTCTATATAAAATATGTTGAGATGGGCATAATATGCAGCATGCTAGGTGAAGACAAAAAAGTTCACCTGCAGTCTACTTTTAGTTTTCTCAATGACAGAAAAAATAGGAGGGACTCATAGGCCTTGGACCAGTCAACACTAACTACTTCTCACTCCGGGACTAAGGTGAGAGAAAAGGTGTGAGGTTAAGTGTTTGCAGTGTCACTTCCTAGAGGGAAAGGTGTATGACCATTATTAGCCGGGTGGCTAATGGGCAGAGGGTGGCCCTCTGGGTAGATTCAGCTCTTACACCTGGAAAGAGCTTTCAAGGTATGAAGAGACCCAGAACAGCACACACCCTAAATGCAAAGATGGACTTCTCAGAGGTGAAAAAGAGGACACCTCCGCCAGGATGCACAGACCAAGAATGTGTTCTTGGCTTTGTTGCGTGGGACCCTCTGACAGCAGATTTCAGGGAAATGGCAGATGGTGGAAGTCCACAGGTTGGAGGTTAAGAAACAAGTGGGCTAGGAGGTGATGTATCTCAGGCAGTCCTACCTCCTAAATTTGCTCCACTGTTACATGCCAATATGGGCCAGTACAAGATCTACCTCAGCCTCTGAGTTTTCACTCCTGACCCAAGGAGTAGAGGGCCACCAGCACTGTTTGCACATTTGTTTCCTACTGGGAAGTTATCGATTACAAAATGCATTTAAAACCTGATCAATAAAAATGTTATATACTTACAAATGGGAACAGAGATCTTGTCTCCTGCTGATATTTCTTTTATAGCAACTGTCATAAAGACAGAAGCTCAATAGAGTACAGCTGTTCTTTGTTCTAGGTCAGTGTTCTTTTTTTTTTTTTTTAAAGATTTATTTATTTATTTATTTATTTATTTATTTATTTATTTATTTACACATGCACTGGGTACAGTCAGAAGCGCGGGAGGGTGAGAGAATTCACCAGAGCCAGAGCAGGGAGCAGAGCAGGCAGAAGGACCGAAGTACACTGCTGAGGGGAGCAGCGGGCGGCAGGAGAGGTCTGCGCGCCATGTGGGACCCTCCTCCGGTGGCCGGGGAGCAGCCGGGGATCAAACCGGCGCTGCAGAGGCTGCGGGCAGCTTCGCAATCCAGCGCTCAACCGCTGCGCCACCGGGGAGGCCCTAGGTCAGTGTTCTTAAACCTCAGCAGTGTCAGAATCATCTGGAGGGCTTAACCCCCATCCTTCCCCTCATCCCAACCCCCAAGTTTCTAATCCAGCAGGATCACAGGATCTGAGAATTTGCACTTTTAACAAGTTTCTAGGTGATGCTGCTGCTGCTGTTTCAGGACCACATTGCATCTTAAGAATCACTGTTCTAGGGCCTCCCTGGTGGCGCAGGGGTTTAAGACACAACCTATGAGGCTGTTCACAACCTCTGCAGCACGAGTTCAATCCCCGGCCAGGGATACCCACATAGCGCAGCAGACCTCTCCTGACTTGCCCGCTGCTCCCCTCAGTAGTGTACTCTGGTCAATCTGCCTGTTCTGTTCCCCACTCTGTCTCTGATGAATCCTCTCACCACCCACACCTCTGGCCTGTACCCCAGCTCTTAAATGCATAAATAAATAAATCTTTAAAAAAAATCACTGTTCTAGGAATCTAGAAAACTTAAATAAGGGACCAGGAAAACGAATAACTATAAGAAAGTGAAAATCAAAATCAACAAAAAACTACGAACCAGAGACACTTTTAAGGGGGCGGGGGTGGGAGGGGAGAGATTGGGGTCAGAATGGGGGGGCTGCAATTGTATGGGGAATATAAAAATAAAATTTATTATTAAAATAAAAAAAATGAAAAAAAAATCACTGTTCTAGATAAAAATTTTCAAGGGTTGATTTTATTCAACTGAAAAACCACAGGCATAGTCTTGTCTTGTTGATTCCCATTCTCCCAATTTCTTGGGACACTGGAGGAAACCCCTGTCCTTTGCCACCCCCGGGAACACATGAGGAGATCAGAGCAGAGAGTCCAGCTAAGCCCATGACATCTGCGCTAAGAGTGCCCACCAGGCTTCTTCATTCAGCTCCGATACAGGCTCAGGTAAGACCACTGGGTGTCTTCTGAGACTTGACATCGTGAGCCCACTCTACAGAAGCCACTGGATTTTCAGACTTCTTTACATGTCCAGGGTCATTGCCAGATCAAAAACACTATGTGTCAGAGATGCCTCAAATCTTGAACATTCAGCCACATGACTTCAAGTGGAAGGACTATTTAAGGATCCAGTGGAACCTCTAGCTAATTCTACCTGAAATTTTTCATCACATCAGGCAGAAGAGCAAAACAGGAAATAATACACCAGCTCATACACCTGCTCTAAGACTTAGTTTATCCAGAGTGCTTCTTAAATGCTAGGTGGCATGTAGTTTACACCAACTAAACTCAATCCCCACAACAATCCTATGTGGTAGTTACTATGAATCATCCCCATTTTACAGATGTGGAAACAGAGGGAAGAGGGACTCAG